AGTGATACGCTCCTCAGTCAAAACCCTTGGGCTTAATGGGTTGAAAAATATTGGCAACACCTGTTTCATGAATAGTGTAATCCAATGTTTATCCAATACGAGATGGCTACTGGAATATTTGAAAAAAGATGAGTACATGAAAGATATCAATATCAATATTTCTAGTTCGGAGGGTGCTTTAATCAAAACTTTTGCAGAAGTTATCAAGGAATTGTGGTCAGAAAATTCATCTGATGGAGCAGTGAACACAGTCTCCTCAAAAAGTCAGATTCAGAGTTTTGCCCCTCGATTCATGGGTCATGCGCATCAAGACGCCCAGGAGTTCCTTCGTTACTTTTTAGAAGGTTTACATGATGACGTTAATATAATTATTGAGAAACCTGAACCGACCTTTACGGAGATTAACGAAAAATTGAGCGACAGCGAAAAAGCACAAAAGTCATGGCTGATTTATTTGAGTACATATAACTTAAGATTGTAGAAAATTTCGTTGGTCAATTAAAATCCACGATGAAGTGCACACATTGTGGACACTCATCTATAACCTTCGATCCTTTCTGGGATTTGTCACTCCCTATACCAGAAAGAACTAACCAATTGAGTTTATCACAGTGCTTGGATTTCTTCACAAGAGAAGAAACTTTGGATGGGCATGAAAAACCGACGTGTACAAGTTGCAAAGAAAGAAGAAAATGCACAAAGTCTCTATCGATCCATAAGTTTCCCCATATTTTAGTTATTCATTTTAAAATAGTTTCTCTAAAAGAAAGTTTTAGAGGCAAGTTAAATGTTGCTATCGAATTTAGACTAGATAGATTATATATGAACAATTATGCAGCAGATAATGTGACCCTTTGTCGCTATAATCTATATGCACTTTCGAATCACAGTGGGTCTACCTACAGCGGACATTATACAACATTCTGCAGACATCCTTATAGTGGCACGTGGCACGAATACAATGATTCACAAGTATCACCAATTTCAGCAAAACCGCTTGTGAGTGAAGATGCATACATCCTCTTTTATGAAAAGGAGGAAACGAGTTCGCACCTTTGAGCGTTTTGTAAAGTTATTTTTGAACTGTTCATTTTAATGTACAGCGGACATTATACAACATTCTGCAGACATCCTTATAATGACACGTGGCACGAATAAAATGATTCACATATGTCACCAATTTCAGCAAAATCGCTTGTGAGTGGAGATGCATACATCCTCTTTTATGAAAAGGAGGAAACGAGTTCGCACCTTTGAGCGTTTTGTAAAGTTATTTTTGAACTGTTCATTTTAATGTTATGTATTATATATTTTGATAATGAATTTCTGTAATGAATTTGATGATACTCAATATTTCCGAAACGCCACATGGTACATAAAATGTGTTTGGAATGTTCTGAAGAGTCCAAAATTTGTATGATTTTCAGGGTTTCGTGTTTAAAATAAAAGTATTGTCCACCGTTACAAAGCAAATAAAACGTTTTCTTAAAAAAGTGTTCAACTGATAATACTAATCGCTGTGACCGAGCATTTTTTGAACACTTCCCTTTTTATTTATTATCGAGTTTATTTAATTTGGCTGATACACAGTAAATGAAATGTTATATCAGTTTTCAACAAAACACTCACTTTGCATACACGCTACAAAAGCTAGGGTAGTGACATTATGCAATTTTCTCATTTTGAAATTCCGGAAAATGAAACTTTTTCATTAATAAACATTGAATAACGTCTTCACCGAGAAACTTGCTCCCTAGATTATGAAAATGTTTCAGGTGACTTCATAATATCAGAAGCTTCGAAGGAATTCATAGACAAACACATTGAAAACTACATGAAACTTGTGCTGGAAACTCAAGAGAAGGAGTTTTCTAGATCAAAGAGAAGTTTGCCGGAGAATGAAACGAGTTTGCAGGATTTTTATGTAGGTAAGTACCTGAAGAGAAGTGAAAGAAACTCTGGAGTTTATGTAATTATATCAGGTGGCGAAGTAGCGGTGATATTCTGGGTAATATGTACAGACTTTATACAATTTATTGGAAGAAAGAAATATTATTTTGTCGTCGCGAATTTCATTCATTAAACACTTCAAGAAATGGTATGGGGGAAGTATTTAATAGATAACTCAGTAAAAGCAAGTACTAGCATATTATTCAACGAGCGAGAACTTGTCTTAAATCATTCGAGTATAACGTGACTGAATACTACACTTCTGATAAGACATACATCAAGAATTTTTTAATATAAAATTTATTCATGAAGGATATCCCGAAAGAGAGTAATATCATTGCATTTCATGAAAACAATTTAAAAGCATTAAAAATATTTCCGGTCATATAATTTATAATTCTTCCAATAGTCATACAAAAACGTCCCAGCGGTGATGTTGAGATCATCATCTAAGTTGAGATCCAAGAAAACATTATTGCTTGAAAAAATTGATGAATCAGTTCGTCTAGGGCAATCATATGAGTGGGTAATGAGGCTTGAGTGTATTATAGTATATCACCTCATGATTACAACTACTTGCTTCAATTGGCAACCGCTTATTAAGCTATGATTGAATGAGGACCATTTAGAATTTTGTGAACGAATTGAAGCAAAACAATTTGTTTCACTACACAAACAATACAAATAGTATAGTTGTGATTTACTGACAGTTAAAAAAAGCTGGAGGATGAAAGTCATCTTCGGTGGCTGAATCCTACGTCAATTAATACATAAAACAGTTAATCTTCAGAAAAAACAGCTTCAATTTTGATTGAAGCTTGAATTGTTTCTAACATTGTTTGAAGCAGTGGTAGAATTTTTAATATTGCTCATACAATATGCATGTTATTGCCTAGTTTTTTGAAAATTCCTATATCGATAAGAGTATGTTATTTATTTACGTAATGAATATGGCGCCAAAGTTAGAGTTGTTTTTGATACTACTACTAATGGTTAAACTATAGCGTCTGATACAAATTGGAGATATATATTTATACTTCTATGGATTATTGATTTGAAACATTCATTTCTCTGAAAAAAAGTGCATAGAAACAGCTGCAGATTACATCATTTTTTTATTTTAAATACTTGTCGTTTTGCCAAACACATTTTCAGGAGATGGGTATTAGACATATTTTCACATTCATTCTGCTTCATCATCTGTTGGAGACGGCGACCTGAGTTGTATAGTGTGTTCAGAAATATACCAAATTGCCAATTTAATCCTGAATGAAGAAGCCAAGGATCTAACAATTATTCTTTTGAAAAGAGAAATGAAAATTTATATGTTTTTTACCACTTTTAATATTGAAATTGAAAGTGGTAAAAAACAGAAATTTCTTTTCATTATGATCTCCTACCACGTAGTAAAGGCTACATCCATGAATTTAATTATTCTTTTTATTCTAAATTGAAGGGGTTTTATTTTTAGTAGTGATTAATTTTTGGGAAAGAAAACAAGTTAGTCCAAAAGTTTGTCGATACCGGATCGGTCTGTAATGTGAAACACCAGCCACGGAAACCGATCAGAAATGAAGCAGTGGAAGTCGCTGTTTTGGGACATGTTGAATTGGATCATACTCAAAGTACCCGTCAGCTTGCTGCAGCTTCAGGTGTCTCCCGTTCGTCCATAATACGGATATTAAAAGCCTATAAATTTCATCCGTACAAAATTAAATTAGAACAGGAACTCATGAAGATGATCCTGATAGAAGGCTGCAATTTTGTGAACAACTGAACATGCTTGAAGATACAATTGATCCTCTCAAAACAGAAATAATTGAAAATGACCAAAATCATAATGATGATCGGCTTCATTTCTAGCAAGATGGAGCACCTCCTAACTATGTTGCTCCGTTAGGAGAGTTTTTAGATGACCGGTTTCCTGGACGGTGGATTGGAAGGAGAGGGCCCATCGAATGGCCTGCCAGGTCACCCGATTTATCGCCTTTGGACTTTTTCCTTTGGGGACACTTGACAAATAAATGGAAGCAAATGGGTCACATTTTCAGCACTTGCTGAAGTAGGATTCTACTAAGTCAATTATACATTTCAAAGTACTGGGTTGTAGTTGTTTTTCTTCATAATACCTACATGTTTAAGTGAAATACAACAAATTAGGTGTTATTGGAATGATAATTTTGTGCCCTTCCAAATGATATATCACTCGACCTCAGTTTCCATTTAAAATTTTGGGGTTGTTACTCACCCTCGCTAGGGGGTTGAAGGCACAGGTAGAAAAGCAAAATTGACCTGTCCGAGCATTTTTGCGTTAAGTTACAAAAAAAGGAGAAAAGCAAGGTGCATACTTTTCGTTGGACCACTCTGTATACATTGAAACATACTCTCTGTGTTTCAATATTCAAATGCATCCGAATCTTATTCACTGGTATCTCTTTTTCGCATTGTTCACCAGCGCTATTAGAATCACTACACAGGAAAAAGTTTGCGTTGTTATCACACTTGTTATTACTATTAGTACTTGTCCAAGGACGCCACATTTTAAACAAACAACAAACATTTTAAGTAATTATAACTTCACCAATATCGAATTTCAACACTCAAATCGCGATCAGTTCCTGAACTGAACATTGACAACACGACTCTTCTAACCATCCTCACATTCTATTGGTCACCGTAACATGACTTAAAACTCGGTTGGTAAAAATTATCCAATACGAATCGCCAATTCTTTCGTCCACGTGGACTAATTCGTAGCGGCATTAATTCTTTGTATTGTTTTTTTTGGCCATTTAGTTCGCCGATAGCTTTAAGATTACTATATCGGTTACTTCGATACCGTTTTTGATTTTTTGTGTTATGTTGTTACATTGTGTAACACATGTATGTTTTGCATGTTTTGGTTGTTGGCGAGAGGAATAATAGCCAGAAGTATTTTGCGTATTCGGCAATTTTCTGCTATCAAAAAAAATTGATCAGAGAATTTGCATCAAATTTGACTCAATGTCATAAAGAGCAACTAGATAAAATTATATATTGAAAAAGTGAACTGAATGTAAACATTTGGTTTAATCTTGAAAGAAACAATAAAAAACTATAAAATTTCACCATTCAGCGACAAATCCAATAATCTTGAAGATATTTTTGATAAAGTTACATGAAATTATTGCCTTTCGAAATATATGACATATAAAAAACCTTTGTTATTTTAAACAACACTAATAGATTATCACAAAATCAATTATTGGGAACTTGATTTAGCTTCAACTCCAAACAAATCTTTGAAAATATATCCAACTCCACGACTCTCAAGATATCTATGCAACTCTCCCATATCCATATGGTTGAATTTGACGCCACTATTTTGGAATACAACTTCTTCGAATTTGTCGAATTTCAAGAAGTCTTGACCTAGCTGTTCTTTGTCTTCTTCTTCGACTTTGAGGAAAATTTTTTTCCACGTCATCGATCTGATTGATTGCCACCATTCCGTACAACTGGAGGAGCTTCCTTCTACACAAATGATGCCAGGTTTACCTGCAACGAAAAATGGTCACAGAAGAAATACCTCAAACATATTTTGGCTATTCGAAGAAGTATGATTGGATAAAAAATGTCCATATATACATAAAAGAAATATACATGAATGTAAAAATATACGCATTTTGAAAACCATTATGATTACCTGTCGTGATTCTGGATGATAGTAGAAGAAATGGTAAATGCCCAAGAAGGTACTGCTTCGCTTAATACGAGAAAAGTTTTTGTTTGAAGGTGGTTGTTGATAATGTTTCGTGGTGCATTTCATTAGTTCGAACTCCCATTGTCTAATATGATATAAATTGATTTGGAATCCTTGAAAGAATCTATAAACATTGAAAGGATGAAACTTCAATGAAATAAAACACAAGCAACAATAAAAAAAAATTGAACTATTAACACGAGATGAAAATCATAAATTATTAACAAGAAACGAACATTGAAAATTGAAAGATTGCAAGCCAAGTAACTTCACGACGTTTCGATTTTTTTGAAAAAGAGAGATCTTCGCTAAAACCGCACTACAATAAGCCCCCTCACTTGTATCGATTACCCAAAATNTCTGATCCAGAAGAGATAATTTTCCACAAGATGAGTGTGTCAAATCTAAAGATTTTAGATGCCGCTGAATATGTTCTGCTTTCAAATCCACCAGCTGTAATTATGGACATCCATGCATTGTCTCGCAGTACTTTTATATTCTTGTCGTATCGATAATCTGAATCACTTCGATTTCTCACCAGATTGTTGGATCTTCAGTAGTTTTCAGCAATGTTGAGGAGTCTTCACTTAGTTTCTCAACGTTGAATATGCTCCAATAACATTAACTTCATGAATTCCCGATCTCACTTTTACTTTTCAAATATTCTTATTGCGTCCTGTCCTGAAAAATATCCATTTTGATGACTCTATTTTTATAGTTGAAGTTCAGCATCAGTTTCTAATGTTCTCTATTCTTTTACCTTATAGTAATCACCTAAACTGTGATAGAAATCATTTGATATGGAATAAACGTAAGTAGTTTCAAATTTATGTGAGAGTCCTGTTCAACTTGCATTTTTTGTCTTTTCTGTACATTAGCTTATTAAGTTTGCTGTAATAGTCGTTTTTTTTGTTCTTTATGAATACCATTTCTTTAAATTTTGTCACTAATTGGTGAATGCATTCGTTTCGTATATTTTTGACATTCGTTAAAAATAATAGAAGTGTTCCTGAAATAGTTTTTCTGTTCCGGAAACAGGCCAATCAAAAACAATGATATTCAAAAAAATAACAACTAGACAAAAAGAGAGCCATTACCAAAATGTATTTTTGGTACTATAATTGTACAGATATTTTATAGTTTCATGAGGTTTTACCTTTGATTATCATTATTGTGAATTTTTGTTTCAAGCCATTGATATATTATTTCTCAGAGGTTGGAATCATGAGTGTATGAGCAAGAACATATTGCATGCCCTGCTATTTTTGTTGGGGAGTGGTGGATGATTCAATATGATAGATTTTATCACTACCTATTCCAATATTTGAAACTAATGAATTGTGATCGACATTCGATATAAAACTCGATACAATTCAGACCTACTCTTCCAATTCCATGTTATACAACTTGTAAATGATTGACTGTTCACCTCGGTTACTTTGGCAATAAAGTTCAGCAATATTTCGTATTTTCTATTCTCTTTCCTGAAACAGTGAAAAATGTATTTTGAAGGCATCATGAATATTTGAAATGACGGAAACTATAGAAAATAGTGAAAACTAAACGAAAAATCCGAGCAGGGGGCGGTATACTGTCTGTCTGTCTGTCTGTCTGATTTTAATCAGACAATCTGCCACCTTCATATTTTGTTATAGTGGTGACAACTGGAAAATATGCGAAAGTTTTTTCCCATCAATTTCACAAAATAAAATCCAGGCTTGTGAGCTGTAGTCGAATGGAACCTGGAATACCAAACGTTTCGTCTGCTACTGCGGTAGACATCATTATCAGTGATATGTGGTATATCTCGAATTCCCAGCAATAACTAACTGCTGAGCTACGTGTTCACTCATATTTATAAATTCAGAGGGTAGTGAGGTGATCGTGGTAGGGCTGGTGGTGGTGGGGCTGATGGTATTGATGGCGTGGTGTCCATGTAAATGCTTCCGATTGGTCCTCACTTTTGTTGAATCGTTCTGATTGGTCCGCACTATCACTAGGTTGTTCTGATTGGTCCACGTTGTTGACAGGTATACTATTGATGGAATGCTGACCGAAGTTGTATTGTAATCTAGTCTATTTATGATCTTCTTCAGTACTGGATAACATATTCTGTTGATCTGAGACCCTATGAAATCGTGCATGGTAATGCGTTTCATTAGACAGGACATCAGTTTCTTCGTATTTTATTACATATTCCGTTTATATGAGGTTGTTTCAAAAATTTTGTCCAATTTGATGTCATGCGTTTATGTAGCTCCAAATTTCAATTGATATTTATTCAACAGCTTATTACTATTGTTAAGCGATTTTCACCAAATTTTTCTCTACGAATTCACATTGAACCAAAAAATTACCCACCCATTTGGAAATGATATTGGTAAAGAAAACACAGTTTGATGATGGTTTGCGAAATTTCGTTCTGGAGATTTTAGCCTCGAAGATGAGCCCCGAAGTGGTCGACCTACAGTAAACCAGGACGAGGATTTGAAGACCCTAGTGGAGACTGACCAATCACAAATGATGCGTGGAAAGGCGGACAACTGGGCATCAACTTCCATGCGTTTTTTGATGGTTTGAAACGTTTTAGAAGGGTCAAAATGCTCGGATAGTGCGTGCCCCACGAATTGAACGATCGACAAAAATTGTCACTGTTCGAGGTCTGTTCTTCTTAGCTTTTGCGCGACCAGAACGATCCTTTTTTGGATCGGATCGTCACGTGTAATGAAAAGTGGATTCTGTTCAGGAGACGTTCAGGATAGTGATTCTACACCGATGTGCCACCCATGCACGACCCAAAGGCGAAAACCTATAAAAAAAGACCATAGTTGCTGGACCAGGTCAGCTGCTGGTATGATCCACTATAACTGTCTGCAGCCGGGCGAAACCATCACAGCAAAGTCCTACTGTGAGGAAATCGACGAAATGTACCAAAAATTGCGTCAGCAGCAGCCAGCACTGGTTAACAAAAGAGGTCCTATTCTGCTCCATGATAACGCTTGTCATCATGTTTCTCAAATTACCGTCCGAAATTTGAACTAATGAGCGTCGAAGTTACGCCCCATCATCTGACTATCATCTTTTCAAGCACTTCGATAACTTTCTCACCGGTACAACCCTCACCATGCAAAAACGGTCTTCGTCAATTTCTTCAAATCCCGATAACCCAATTTTTATGCTGACAGATTCATTCGACTTGTGTTACGTTGGCAAAAGTGCATTGATTCAAATGGAGCTTATATCGATTGAAGAAAACGTCCCAGGCGAAGTTCTCCGGCTGTGTCTGCTGACTCTCTTGCAAAGGAGGGTGCCGCAAGCAGCTTCAGCGGATCACAACCTGTCATTGTCATTTACCAAACAAAGATTGAATATCTGGATGGCAAGAAGATTTATGGACTTCTGGCAGAATCTTCCAGGATTGGTTCACTCCAAGGCGTTTATTCACCCTTCGAAGCTTGATACCAAACAGTTGTTGGACTACAGTAGGGATGAACTACGATGTATAACAGGCCTTCTTACAGGTCACTGTCATTTGAATCATCATATGCAGAGACTCGGACTGTTGTAAGACAGTATGTGCCGCCCCTGTTTGGAAAAATGATGAAACAGCAGAGCACATACTTTGTGCCTGCCTCGCTGGGGACTGAATCAAGTTTTTAGAGTTCGGCAGAGCCGTACCCTTACCATCTGACCTGAAAGACCACTCACCATACAAACTAATCGGCTTCGTTAAGAAGCTGGGTTTATTTGGTCGAGTGTGAATAGGTCTGAGCCATAATAAACCCTTGTGGGTTGTGGTGGAGGGTCGAATATACCCATACACTTTGGACCTAACCTAACCTATATCGACTGAAGTGAATAAGTATTTACTCTGATAAAACAGTTTGAAGTTGTCCCATAAAAACGAACAAAACTTTTGAGACAACCTAAAACTAGAACATGTTCTGCAGTTGTGGATTTTTCCGGTTGCATGAGACGGCAGCTACGCTAGTGTTCTTGTTTCCTGGTGTTGAAGCTGCGTTTGGTATTAAACTGATGTAAACTGATCCTCGGCAACAGGGAATCTTGTGAACACTGGCAGATGTCAGAATCTTTCTCCTGTCCTTCGCTGATCTAATTAGTTGATTAGTTAATGGTCTTAATGTTGTGACGTTCAAACAGTTTTGCGATGAGGCCTGATCTATCAGAAAATCTTCTGAAGTTTTTCACTTTAAATGGTAACTCATTCAATGAATTCTGTGCATCTTTTGGAAAGTGTGAACATATACAAGAAAAATGTCTCATCATTTAATTCTTTTCATTTTGAACTGTCCACTCGAACTCATATGCATATCACCCCGGAAATACTTTGCATACTGAATGTGAAACTTTCAGAACGATTCATTCCCAATAATAACCGAAGCGGAAATCTGGAATGGGGCCCGAATAGCTACATTTCCTTCTGAACCTTCGACATTGATTATAGTGGCTGAGAACGGCACGAGATCTCTCGGTTTCGAACATCGAGCCAACATATTCCAGTTCACTCAGAAGGAGGAGTTGGAAACGGTTCAGAAAATTGAAATGGAATATGCCGTCGATGTTACGATTTGGTAAGTATTCAATAGTTTCTTCCACGGTTGAGAAGGTTGGCGGTGATAAGTGTTAGAAAAATTATTCATAAAAATTGGTTGTGATTTCAAAAATATACTTATTTTTAATGTCGTATTGTTCAAAAAATGACATATTTCTCAGATAACCTGAAGAAGTTTCTCTAAATGCAATTTTTATTCCATATACATTACCTTAATGGAAT